CCCTTGGCCTCATTACATACATGATAATAGTATCAAAGTAAGTACTTAAGTATTATTACACATCAAGGAAGCCACATTAGCTTCTAAAATATCATACACCTGTGGCATACAAAATATATCATCAAAAGTAAGGCATGTTAAACATTTACATATCAATATACAAAAATATTCCAAATTGCTCATAACCCCCTAAGGATGATGAGCATCCAAGAACATAGTCTCCTTACTTGTAAAATAACCCAAACAATTAGGGTGAGTAATCAAGTTACTCGTAGGAAGAAGCATATGCGTATACCCTAAAGTTTCAATATTATTGCAAGATTAATATAGACAAATACAAAGGATCATTCCACTTAACGTCTATGTTCAAGGTGTTTTAAATGATCATTTTAAACTAACTTAAATGATTCTATCATATCACAATATCTATATCAATGTACTTAACAACATCAAATTGCCAATAACCAAAATTATAAGTCACAATTAAGCATTGGTTGTCAACTTGAAATTGAATACGAAATCAAATAGTGGAAACTTGGACATCAAATCCCGGAGTAAACCAAGACCTAAACGGTTATTCCGGGCACTAAACCGCTGAGAATACCACCATAGTGCGCACTAAAAATGGGGAGAACTTGTACCTCCCGCACTAGAGCCAAACTCTAGCCATGTCATTTGTAACAATATCCCAAGAGAATCCAAAATCATAATTAAGTTCAAAACTTGTATAAAATAATTAAGGCATATAAACCACATTCCATGCACAGGTAATTTTAAACCACACAAACCCTGTCTTAAGGTTCCAAGTCTAAAATGGCATACCAAATGATAAGTCTTTATCATGATATAATGTACAATATAATACCATTAACTTATCTATTTAAATCATTCCTTAACAATAAGCTTTATATACTAAATCATAACATTGTAGTAATAGGTTCCTAAAATAATTACTAATAGTAATCAACAAGAATATAGAATTATCACCATAATAAATATAGCAATTTAAGTCACTAAGAATTGTATATAACATTAATAATTCTACACTAGATAAATACATATCATACATGCTTAAATCAATAAATCATAAGTCAAATGTGAGAATTCCCTTTAATATACAAGACTACAATACTAAAAGTATGTACACAATATATATTAAATCACAAAGGAACATAAAACACTTAAAAGTATAAACATACTACCACCCCTACCTCAATAGAGAATTGAATTTCTATAATCCAAAGCAACCAAGCTTAAAAATGGAAAATTAAACTCGGGTTTTGTAGAGGAGAGTGAGAGGAAACTTTTACTTCCCAAGGTTAAAATTCTAAGGTGAGTGGAAGGAGGTCAAAATGAAGTATAAAGCTCTAAGCCAAGCTTTTCTCCAATGGTGGCTAAGTTAGGGTTTGAGAGTAAAGAGAGTGAGGAAGATGAAATGAAATGAGGTGAGTAGAGGATTTAGTATTCCTCCACTCACTATGTGTTCTTATACCATAATCTTCACACATACTAAGTGTAAGACTTAATTTGGAACCTACACTTGTCACTAATCCATGACTCCTTCCTAAACTTAATCCTAAGCCTACACTTGTCAACCATCAAAGCCAACAAGTGCAAATATCTTAGGCCAACAAGTGGGTGAATCTCTACCCTCCACATGTCATAAGATAAAGCTCCCAAGTGACTCCACCCCAATGCCAACAAGTGGCTCCATGAGAGTGTGACACTTTTCATACTTTTCAAAAATTGCAAAAATGACATTTTCCAAAATATCATCCAAATTAAATCGCAAAATAGTCTCTAAGACGAAAAATAATTAATTTACATAATTACACTAAAATCCCAAAAATTAAGAATGTTCCCAAGAAAGTGTGCATCCACGCCCTTTACAAAAAAGTAAGCAATTAGCATGCTTTTCTACAAAAGTAAAAATACAAATATCTTAAAAATTAAATATTATGGATACATGCAAAGCCGGAATCAAATCTGAGTACAAAAAGTGAGGTTATGCGAAAAAAAATGATAAACGGGAAAAATACGAAAAAGACGAAAAAAAGAAATTACCAAAAAAATGAAAAGAAAGAAAATGATCGGATCATTACATATCATAGTTTAAATATTATATATAATGTATTTAAAAGTAAAAATATAAATAAAAATAATATTAGAATTCGGGTTCGGGTTGGCTGGGGTTGCTAGCTCTTCAACCCAAGCCCAACTCTAATTAAATTCAGATTGAAAATTTTTAATCCAAGTCCAACCCTAATTGTAAAAATGATTGTCCAAACCTGTGAAAAATCGGACTAAGCTAGGGTTAGGTTCGGGTTACCCAACCCGAGTTGCACCCCTAGTACTATATTTATATGTGTGTGTGTGTGTCTATATATAATTTATATACAGTATATATAATTTGTAAATGTATAAAAAAAATTAGGGGTATTTTAGTCTTTTTAATGACTCAAAGGGTATTTAAGTTATTTTACAGATGTCAAAACTGTTAAAGTAACGGTTGAGGTGTAATTGAAAAATGGAACAAAAGTTTATAATGTGAGTGATAATTATTTTCGAAAGATATTTGAGTGAAAAATGGGCAAACCTGAAAGGGTGTGAGTGAAATTAATCAAAAAAAAAAATGATAAGTCATCAGAATGATCGCAAAGGTTACGTGAGCGTCTAAGAATACCTGAACTCCACAAATTACTCCTAAACATTCCTCAGCTTTCTAAGCATTGAAATGGTCTAAACTGAAGCTAAAACTAAAACTAAAACTAAGAACAAACAAAAAGATCGAAGATGAACTTTTTCGCGCGTTTAGACACCAGAAAGGAACAACTAGTCCAAGTCTTAGCCCCACCTTTGCCTGCCTGTCCTTGGCTCTCATATTGTTCATCTCTCATTCTTACTTAAAATGCAAGCAATGAACAGATGCTCCGATGACCCACTAAAAGGACTGGTGTGACAATATGATACAAAGCATAGCCAATCAGAGAGATTAGGCCGACACGTTTATCGCAGTCCGAAACTATTATTACCTATTTTCCACCTGATCTTAATTTCTTAATGTTATATTCCAAGTCAAAATTGAGCAGCTTTCTGATCACCACAGAAAGAGACAACCGACTAAGACCTCCACCAAACTTGTATGTGGTTGGAGTCTTATCTCCTTTAAGGATAACTTTGACATATATATACATCTAAATATGTATTCATTTGTTCTTATCAATGACTTACCAAAACCCTCCACTGATAAACACCATTACACCATCCAAGCAAAGCTTTAATGAGATTAATCTGACTTTTACAGTGCAACAATTTCCTGATTTTGGTTGTTCTAGCTATATAGTTTGTCCTACTCCCACCTTAGTGTTGCTTGACTCCGACGTATACTATATATTAGAGTTGCACGAACGAATCCATGGTTTTATCTCAGCTGTATTTCACTGCTAGAAACACAAGTTACTGAAGTTGTGAACCTAGACTACTTACCGGTCTACCTCTGGCTTTGTGACTTTGGGTCTTAAGTTCTATGATCCAGGTCAAGGTTTCACGACTAGTAGACAGAAGAAAAAAATAATAAAAAAACCTATTTAGCTAATTAAGCACTGGACCTCGTATCGTGTGTGTGTGTGTGTATTGTTTATTTGAAATGCCTGGAGGCAGGCTGTTTGCATTTCTAGATAGGACATGCCTTAAGAAAACAGGCCCTAAATTTCCAAAGCAACAATGAATACTGTATTTGACAGTGGCCTTACTTTTCAAGTTCTCTAAGCCTATGTTTAATAGGCATTGCATTGGAGTTTTAGAATTGGAAGAATTAATGAAATTAGAGAAAAGCAACTAAGAAAATTGAATCATTTTTTTTTTTCAATTTCATTAATTCTAATTCCAATTCCAATTTCATTTCCAATTCTAAGACTCCAATTCCATGCCGCCATACATAGCATAAGAGTATCCAAGCATCACTGTTTAAACTTCCCTAAAACAGCAGGAACACAGTTTGTGGAGAAAACAAAGCAAATCAAATAGAGATCTCGGATTGAACCAATCATTGAGTGGAAGGGCCAGTGTTGAATTTGATTCAAAACCAGTTGCTAGTGGGACCTCTGATGTGATGTTTCTTTGTTGCTTGCTGATTTTTGTTTTTTCGCTTGAAATGTCAGCATCACGCAAGTTTCTCTGTAATCCTTCACTTGATTGATAATTCTGAACCACCATGACATATTGCTATGACATAACCAAAACTTTTAGTCTTTTTCACGATGAAAATAGAACGCATTGGGTAGGATGGAATTAAACAAACTGAGAAACAAAAATTATTAGGTGAGAGATTGGTGCGCCACAGCTCTGCAGTTTTGAAACACAGAGACACTGCAAAAATATCGTGGCTGTCATCTTGTTGAGATTTCATAGCTGGAAAAGGAAAACAAAGAGGTCTGCTAAGAGACAATCCTCGACTACATGTTTCCGAAACTGATAAGAGAAAACATGTTTTCCAGGAGATTAGATCCCTAGCCGATAAACGCTAACACGTTACAATTGCACATTTAATTGTCCTCCTCATAGACAATCCTCGACTACACCAGAAAAACCTAATGCATAAATAATTCCCTGTTTTCTGAAGTTTTGAACTCAAAAAAAAAATAAATAAATAATAAATAAATAATAAAAATAAAATAAAACCCTCATTGAAGATGGAACAGCATAACTATAGAAGCTCCAACGAAAACTATACATGAGAAATCTATACCCTAATTCACCTTGCGTCGCCAGAATCATCATTAACAAATGAATTTGAGATGTTAATGATGATTCTGCTGCTATATTTATGTGTGTGTAAAGTTGCCCCCCCTGTCATTCCCATCCAAGTACAACTAAATACCCCTATTCATCTGTAACCTCAAATATCCACCATCACCACAGCTTCCATTTTCTTATCAACCATCTGTTACAAAATATAGACGCGGAAGACAGTCGCAACTCAAGATATTACAAGATAGAGGTACTTCGAAACAAATCCATAAAAAAACAGAACTCAATATTTACATAAGCATTTTCTTTTTAGAATTTCGTTCTACATATTATTTATGAGACAAGTCCATAAGGAGTGAAAGGGGGAGAAAAATAAAAACTTCAACAATAAAAAAATGCAAACAATTCTACTTAGGCACTTTAACTCAGCTGCCTCCAAGAATATTTACAGTACTGCTCCTACTGTTGCTCGCAACTACAACGCCTTCCGGGTAGAAAATCCACAAACCAAGCCTACCCTAGGAATCCTTTGCTCCCACAAACCTGAAGTCTTATTTGTCATTGCAATTCTGTCTTCTACCCATATATTGTTATACCTCAAATGTCAAAACTTGCATGAAGTCCCAAGCCTCTGTATCTGTTTCTGACCAAGGGTCACAGACTTGCGCTTGGCAAATGCTGGGTCCAGCAGCGCTTTGAACTTCTCCATAAACAAGGTCCATTCCTCCTCGTTCATGTCTGCCAGCTTCACAAAACTCAAGCTTGCAGGGAGCTGCTCATTTGCACTCTTGTGCCCAGATGATGAATTCGCCACATAGCCATTTTCTGGTTTTGATCCTGGGAATTTCAGATGTTTTTGGCTCTTCTCACCTAAACTGAAATTCTTGAGGGACATGGATAGATTTGAAACAGTTGCAATCTTTGCAGGAGCTGGAACGTCAACGGATCCCTTTTGTTCTTCACCTTTGCTATCCTCTTCTTCCTCAATGCTTTCATCCAGCTTAAAAAGTGGAGAACGACCATTACCACTTCCAAATCCAAAATGAAATGGCACTCGGGTCATAAAATCATCAGAAGCCATTTTGGGGGTAAAGTCAAACTCTGGTTCTTCACAATCTAAATCGAATAGAAACTCCTCATCTCCTGCTTCAGCCTTGGGAGATAACATCTCCCCCTCAGCTATCAGCCTTCTTGCCTCAATACAAATAACCTCAAGCTCACTAGGTTCCTCCTCACCACCACGGAACTCCCTGCTCAACATCTCGCCAATCTCAGCAAGACATAGACCAAAAGCAGCAGCTTCCTTGAGGAAGATTGTGCACAGAACCAAGACTCGGAGGCAAGCCTCTCGAATCATGGGAAGCTCCCTTCGCAGCATATCTGAGTCCTTATAAGGATCAAGATTTCCAATGTATGCAAGTTCATCCTCCGAAAATGGAATTGAAGCCTGAGGCCAGTGGATCCACTCAAAGTATGGGTCTTCCAAACATTCCGGCAGGCAAAGGCCATGGTCAATTGGAATGAGTTCCACTTGACCAAACCTCCCAACACCATCAAGCTTCTTGACCAAAAGGTTTCCTCCATGCCTATCTGTGTTGAAAATCCTAATGTCCAATATCCCGATTCGATGCACAGCAGCAACCGGGAAGCTTGAGGTCCCATGATCGCTGGCATCAAAATCATGTGGGATGAACTGTTGGAAGGATGCAATCTTGCTAACTAGCTTCTTTTCATTAGGCTTATTACCATTTACCCCATCATTATTGACATTAAAGATTGAGTGAGTAATCTTTACCAGTGCAGTGGGCGGTACATTGGCAAAGTGACCATAGTCAAGAAGATAAGCGGCAACTTCCCTGAACCCTGTTTCCCCAACCCGCACTGAACGTTTAAAGCCTGGTTGCCCAAGAGCTTTACCCACAAACCCTTTTGGATTGTTAGGCGCAAATGGTTCTTCATCTGTAGGCTTTACAATGGCAACACTCTCACCTTTGCTGCTTCTAAAATAGTATGCACCTCCAAGTCCACTATGGACAGGAATTGGATCAACCCCAATCTTCATGGCCCTGACAATTTCCTTGACAAGTTGTTTTGTTCTGGCAAAGCTATCTGAGTGGCCTAATATTTCGATCGGACCACTCTGATCTCTTTGTTGAATATCCCTCCCAGTGGGTGAGAGACACGGAGTTGATGAACTTCTATGCATAAAGTTTCGTGTTAGAAGAAGAGGGGAATCATTCCGAATGGCACTAAGGTCATTCTTCAACACCATATCACCAAATGTCAGTGAGCTTTCCTCGGTTGAAACATTAAGGGCAATCTGCAGCCTTCTCTTCACAGTATGTGCATTATCACCCCGATCTAACTCCATTCCTAGCACACAACCATTTTCAGTTTGCACAAAAACGCGTCTCCTACCCGCAGATTTTCCTTCCATCCTCTTGTTTCCATGGTACTCCCCACTAAGGGGGCTGTTGAAGACTCCCACTGCCATCTGGGTCTGAACAGGGCTGTCCAAGTTGGGAGACATGAAAATAAGAGGAAGACCGACTTTCCACAGCCGACAACAGAGATGGCAGCAGAAGAGAGCTTCTTCCCCTCCCTCAAGAGGATGCCAAACTCAGAAGCCGATTGTGATTCAATGAGAAAGATGTATGATGTCCAAACAATCATTAATCAGCAAAGTGGGATTTAAACCACCCCCAATAATCAACACGGAAGAAGCCAAAGCAGGCAACAATAAGGGCAGAAAGAGAGGCAGCACGGTCACTACATCTAGAGGGCCATCTGATGATCCAGAGAACGCGGGACGGTAATCTGTAAAAGAATTAAGACTGGATCAACAACTAATGCACTTACTCAAATATATCCAAAAGAAGAAACTCAACACAACCTGCCTATGATGAACAATTTTCCCTAAGAATTTACTGATTAAACCTAAGGCATAAAGGGCATTTATCTAAGGCATGAAGCAAATACTGAAATACTAGTAATTCACTAATTCCGGACAAACCTAAGTACTATGAAAATGTAAGTGTTTTATCAGGTCCACAAAATAAAGGAATCTAACATTCATTACTTCAGATTTCTTTACTCTTCATCCCCTAAATTTTCTCAGCAACCAAAGAAAGCATAGATCAAAAATGAAAACAATAAACTATAATATGACAACAATGAAAAACGCAAAAATAGACATTACACCACCCAAAATGTCGTGCATAACTAAAATGAACAATCAAGTATTTATGCACTGTTAATAAAAAATAGAAGCCTACACAATACTTATCAGATATAGTTATCAGACTACTCCTAGAATCAAGTAAATGCCAAACCTCGCTTATGAACATTACTAGCATTCTTTTCCGTAATTAGCATTCGAATCGCAACGCCTTTTCTTGTTTACATCTTTAAAATGGAATACTAATCTAGTAAAATGAACAGAATCTATCTGCAAGAAAAGCTAATAACTTTTCCCTAAAAATAAATGAAACTCAAAAACAGTGATCTCTGAAACCTCCATGAATCATCAAACCGCAACACGAGCATTCATATTCAAATCTAATTGAATTGATCTCCATACCGCATCAACAACGGACAAATTAACACCGATTTCAAGCAAATTAAGCACCTAATTTGAAGATAATACATTGATAAGTTCAAGAAATTCAAGATATTAACTCACCAGACCGAGAGATCTGACAGAAGCACACACACAGAGAGGGAAATTTTGAAAGAACCGTTGATCAACGTTCGAAAATTCAAAAGGACAACGGTCCTTATCGGGGACAAACGGAAAGGTTCAACGGCAAGGATTCGACGGATTGTTTACTTCAAATCTTTCAGTCCTAGCCAGAGAAACCCTCTTTTCCTTGTTCGTTCTGTGCTCTGTGCTCTCACTTTCTCTCTCTATATCTATATATTTTCTCGCTCTTCTCCGAATGTTCCCTTAACTATGGTCGCTATAAACTGAAGCACGAAAAGCGCGAAACCTGGTTAGATAACTAACCCTAGTTAGAACTAAAGACTCGCCCGGTCCCTTTGCTCGATCTCTCTCTCTCTCCATATTCGAAGACTCTGGAACGCGGAGTTAGAGCCGTTGGATTAGAGAATGATGCGAGATCTGGGCCGCTGATTGGGAAAGTAGAGGGGTGACGTGGAGGTAAGTGACTGGACTGTGACGCGGCGGAGTCAGCGCAAGTGGCCGCGAATCTTACAATGCATATATATATATATAGTATATTAAATAATTCTGTGCGGTTGCCCGAAATTCCAGAAATACCCTCCGACGTGTTAGGATTCATCCCATGTAAGAAGGAATCCATTGAAGCAAAAAGGACCACCGTTATGATTCATCTCATATAATGCAGATTATTATTTGTTTTTGCACATTTTTCATGCTCAAATGTGTTACATAGATAGGAGGCATCTCCTCTATTAAGTTTGAATTTCGACTCTGTCGATGTGAATATTAGACTTGTTGAGAGCATCGATGATACATGACATTAATGTATTTGAATTGCAAATATATAATACATACGGGGTCAAATGAAAATGAATTCAACACATGATGTATCAGGCACACCAAATACCTTCTCGAATCCTTAGACAATAAATATCATAACTATGTTTATTTCCATTTGCTGGCCTTGATTTGGCTAGGTGACACTTCGAAACAATGTTTCTCCCTCCTCTGGACAAGTTTTTGAGCAATTAGGAAAGGGTAAATAAGTCATTTTGATGGTCTCCGTCTAAAACTGCGCGAGATTGTGCAGAAAATAATATTGAGATAAAAAATAGTAAACACACATAAACTATTAATCCTTTTATGTATATATCGATGTAGTCAGAAAGTGTTTCTATTTAATTAATTTTTGGGGATTAAAAAATATAAATATATTAATAAATCAGTCAAGTCCAATAGTTGGGGTATGATATTGATTTTTCTATATATTTATTTCTTAAGTGAACATAATCAAATCAAATGCATCATCTGATTGATCTCCAGTAAAATAATTTCATATTTTTATACAAGTGGATATGGTATGGATCACATCTCAGGAGTTCTCTTGTTTGACTCTCCCCAAGCTTAAATCCCGTTGGAATTTCTCTAACTTAATTAATGTCACTGGAAATGAATGTATGTTGTTAAAAGAGATCTAGTTCAACGTCAAGAAGGATATTAAATGAATAATTAGCACATTTTTTATATTAATTATATATGAAGTAATTTGGCATAAATTATTAATAAGTAATATTGTTAATGGAGTTGTAACAATTTATGCCAAATTACTTCATATATAATTAATATATGAAATGTGTTAATTATTCATTTAATATCCTTCTTGAAGTTGAACTAGATCTATATATATATATTATTTTTCAACAAATACTCATTTGTTCCTACTAAAACTTGAATCATCGACCTTTTACTTTAGAAGGTGAAAAAGTATAACCCGATTACAATTTTTTTTATCACTATTATGCTGTGTTCGATAGGAAGGAAGGAAGATGTGTGGAGAGAAAATAAAAAGGAATGAACGAGTTTTTCTTATTCCATAGAGATGACAAGGAAAGAAAGGAGAACAAGAAGAATGTGATCATGTGTCATCCTTCCTCATTTATAAATTTTCATCTCCCTAATAATAAGAAAAAAGGGAAGACAAGTGGACTATTATAAAAGTTTTAAATTAAATACTATTATGAATTATTCAATTTTTCATTACAGAACTATCCTCTCTGTAATTTTCAATATTATAAATATTATCGGATATAATAATAAAAACAATTAAAACTTTCTTTTTCCTTTTCTGTTAACAAATATAAGAAATTATGAGTTTATCTTCTTTTCTTCTATATAATTGAACAAAGAAATAGCTATGTGTCATCCATTCATTCTTTTCTCCCTTCCATCTAATTTTTTATTTCTTACCTAAGAGAGCATTAGTATTAATTTGAGTAGTATTTACTGTACTTTTGAAAGAGGAGATTGAATGGTCGTGTCTCACTTAGAACGTAATAACATGACTATTTTGTTATATTTTGAAAGTGAATCATGAAATATACTTTATTTTTTGACAATAAATTTGCTTTACTCTTAAATAAATAAATAAATTGTTAGAAACAATCTAAGTAGATACAAAAATAAATTGTTAGAAACAATTTAAGTAGATACAAAATGATTTCACACTTTGAATTAATAATAATAATAATAATAATAATAAATAACTTTTGAAGATTTCTTCTCCTTTTTTTGCTCTATTTTAAAATTATTCCTTTATAACAGCTAGCCATATATACCAACATGGCACTAAAAGGCTGTGTAATTTGATCATGACAAGATTTAGTGGTTTAAGAAATGACATTTAACTGCAGGCATGACCTTATTATATTAGTATTAGGTGACATTTTGGTAAGAAAATTCGGTAGGCTATGATAAGTCAGTTTAGTTTTTAGTAGAAACTTTTCCCTATCAGATCATTATAACACCACTATTGTTAGTCAAACGTGACAATCGGTTTGGTTGAAAAACTTGACCATGAATGCCAAAGTAAAAGCTTATCTACGTTTCTTTTCTTTTTTTCCTTCTTTCTTTCTTTAATGCCAAACAATTTATCATTAAAGTGATCACAGAAGAATGAAAAAAAGAGAGATAGAAATAGTAAATTTGAAACCCTAGTTTAAGCCAAGCAAGCATGCAGAAAACTCACGCTATATATATATATATATATATATATATATGATGTTGAAATTTTTCAATATCAACAACATATATGACATTGATTATTTGTGCCACCACATTGAAAATGATTCAATAAATCACACACTTGATAATCTCATGCCATTGGGATCATTTTAAGTAACAAGAAGTTACTAAAAAGCTCATTTCAGCAATGAAAAAAAATAAATCAAAAAAATAATTGTGCTAATAGTTCTTGGAAAGTTGTTTATGATATATATAGAGAGAGAATAGTTCTTTTATATATATATAACTTTTTTTATTCACAAAATTATTGAAAATTGTCGGGTTATATACCATTATGATTATTTTAATTTAAAGAGAACCTAACTTCTTTATGTATGTCAATAGACAGTAATACACTCAACCAAAAGTATCAGACTGATTAAACCTAGAAGTAACTATCAAAATCCATCTACACTCTTTATTACTAATAGAGTTTCTCTCGTTTTAAGGAGAATATATTTGTTGTAATACAGTTTCTGTTATTTTAATAAGTTATTTGGTGTTCTAGATAAATCATATCATTGGTATGTAATAAAAATTTAACATACACTAAATTGGTCCTAACTATTTTAAAAAATATATTAAAAAAATGAAATTGATCTCAACAAATTAATTATCTTAGATTTTTTTATAAAGTGAAGATACTAATAACGTGATATGAGCTCACTCTTTTAGGCCTTGTTTAATAAGCATTTGGTTGAAAAACTTGACCATGAATGCTAAAGTAAAAGCTTGTCTACGTTTCTTTTCTTTTCTTTTTTAAATGCCAAACAGGCAAACAATTTATCATTAAAGTGATCGTAGAAGAAGGAAAAAAAAAAAAAAAAAAAAAACGAGAGAGAATGAAATAGTAAATTTGAAACACCAGTTTAAGCCAAGCAAGCACGCAGAGAACTCACGCTATATATATATATATATATATATATATATATATATATATATATATATATGATGTTGATATTTTTCAATATCAGCATCATATATGACATTGATTATTTATGCCACCACATTGAGAATGATTTAATAAATCACATACATGATAATGATCTCATGCTATTGAGATCATTTTTAAGTAACAAAAAGTTACTAAAAAGCTCATTTCACCAATGAAAAAAAAAAAAATTTTAAAAATAAGTGTGCTAATAGTTCTTGGAAAGTTGTTTATGATATATAGAGAGAGAATAGTTCTTATTATATATATATATATATATATATATATATATATATATATAGATATAGATAACTGTTTTTTTATTCACAAAATTATTGAAAATTGTCGGGTTATATACCATTATGATTATTTTAATTTAAAGACAACCTAACTTCTTTAGGAATGTCAATAAACAGTATAGTAATACACTCAACCAAAAGTATCTGATTAACGCTACAAGTAACTATCAACTTCAACAAATAATATCCATCTACACTTTTTATTAATAGAGTTTCTCTCATTTTATGGGGAATATACTGAGTGTAATACAGTTTCTCTTAAAATGGTATGAAATTTAAAATGAAAATAATTATTTTATTGGAATAAAAATTCATTTCACATCTAAATTTATAGAATTATAAATTTTATTTCTAAATAAAAAATTAAAAATTAAATTCTTAAAAAAATATCATATTTTAAGTCCACAGACCATCATTGCCATTGTCACCATCACCACAACCTTCCACTATTGTCATTGCCTTCCATTTCTTCTACCGCTGTCAACTTCATATTTATAATTAAACAATAAAATAGGAATAACCATTTCCGTCATTCCATTTTTATTCTTAGCTTTGTTTCATTTTCAGTCAAGCATATTAATTAAATTAGTCTCGAAGGTGTTTATTTCAGTAGTTACGGATGGATAAAAAAATTAAAATTAAAATTAAAATAAAAAAAATCAGGTTTGTAACAAATTTTCGTGTCAGATTTGAGCAGTGAAGAATTGTTGGATAGATATGCATTGAACTATGGAGACGTTTAAAAATCATTATTCATTGTAAATTTAATTTAGTAGGTAACTTTTTTTATTAAGGCCGACCGCCCACCACGTTCATACCAGTACTAATACCTCTTCATTATTATTAATTGGTGGAACTAATTTAATATTAATAAACTCTGTTTATAGGCTTTTAGCCCAGAAAGTGCAGGTACGAGAAAAGTGGCAGTCTTGTTGGTTTAAAGGACGTGCAGGTCGGTCACCGTTAGATATTTGGACTTCT